ATCTAATTACTTCTCTAGGTCCCATCGGGGGATTAAGCTTTCAATTAAGCATGAGTCTTTGGGAGACACTTTACGTCTAAACCATAACACAGTACCACAGGGCTAGTAACATAGGGGCCCAGTGAGAGATACTTAGAGGCACTGGGTTCTATAAGCACACACTGATTTTGGAGTAGTATTCACCAAGAAATGGGTTTCACTGGTACTACAGGTTCATTAATCAGAAACTCAAAGTAAGAATGAAAGGAATGATTTTGAATCTCTTAAAGATCCCTTAGATATTACCACCTCAAAATGTGTTTCCACCATCTGGCATGATTTTTTATTCCTATTCTGCATATGTGCAGAAGAAATACAAATTTGAACAGCTCTACAATTATGGAAGATAAGAATCCTCTTTCATTAGAGTAGACAGGCAAAGGTTGGGTGGCCACCTGAATGACATGCTCTGTTAGAGAGCACTTGGAACGGATGATCTTAAAACTTGAGATCCTGTAGGTCTTTGGAAGAGAAATAAGATGCTTTAAATTTCACTTAAAATTTATTCTATGAAAGCATCTCTACCCTATCATGTCTTCCCTAGCATTAGAAAAGTGATATTGTGAATCCTGTTAAAAATGGATTAGTGTGGAAAATGGCCAACAGAGATTCCTGGATCTCTCGATCTAAATAGATTCGACAGCTATGCTTTTTTCTCCTTTTTAGTATGAACAAATCTCCAGGATGCTATCTTTTGCTAGGTGTGTTAAAATAAAATGCTGAGATTTGTGGATAACTTAACTTTGGAAAATAGTGGAATTTAAGGTTGCCCTTGTCAATGACGCACTTACATTTCACAATAGTGTTTTGCCTAGGAGAAAAAGGGTATGGAAAACCTCAAAACTGCTCACTCAGGGAGGTATTTCATGCCCCAAAAGTCAGCCTTCACTTATCATGCTGCTGAAAGAAATATTTAGAACCATTTTTCAGGCCAAGCAAGGGCTACTCAGCCTATGTCATGGACCACCAGCATCATTGTCATTTGAGATGATTAAAGAAGCAATTTCTCAGTCCTTAAAACAGACCAACTGCATCAGAATCTTGAGGGATATGTGTTAGTCAGCTTTCATTGCTGAGACAAAATTCCAGACATACACAACTTCAAGAGAGAAGACTATATTTTGGCCCACAGACTCAGAGATTTCAGTCCTTTGTTGGCGGGCTCAGAGACAGAAACACCATGGTGGAAAGGCCTGGCAGAGGAAAGCTGCTGATCTCCCAGTAGCCAGAAACAGCAAAGGAGCACCTGAAAGGAAAGGGCCAAGAGACCAGATACAGTCCCCAAAGTCATGTCCCTCTGATCTACACAGACTCCCCTCCCTCAAGAAGTGTGCTTAACTAATCCCTTAGGTGTCACCAAAGCCAATCAAGTCAACAAGATTAACTAACACAGCATTGGGACCCAGGTATCTGTTTTCATATGCTCCACAGGTGATTTTAGTACTTGCTAAAATTTGAGAAGCACTGCTCTAGACCAACATCTGGGAACATATTAGAAACCATCCATAGCCCTTTGCTCTGGGCTTTGGCGAGTAATAGTGGAAATGCTCTACAGCTCTTTTAGATGTTTAAAGCCTACAGTGATGGAAAAAATCTACTAAATCTACTAAATAATGAATTCTTGGATAAAGGTGCATGTCTTAGAACTGGGGAAGTATTAAATACATCTCCCGGTCCTGTTTCCTGTGTCTAAGTAGGTAATGATACAACCTCAAAGTCTTGCAGTATTTCTTAGTTTTCTTTCCCATTTGGTTTAGGCCAGTGGTTGTTGAATCAGCCCCCCTTGGAAGTGGGCCCAGCATTCTGTGCTTTAACAAGCCCTCCATCTAGAAGCACCTGCAAGTTTGAGAACCAATGACTATAGTTCCCATCAATTTTACCACCTGCATGGCAACAGAGAGTCTTAGGGCTTCCTTATGTTAGCTCTGTGTATGGGAGCCCGGTAGCTGGCTCCTGGCAGCTGCTTATCTTGGCCACCCCCGGTTCTAGTTCCAGGGGGAAGTGCAGGTCACAGAGTGGGAACCTGGCATTCATAGCATAAATCTAGGAGACCAGAAAGCAGAACACTTACTGAGATGGTCCCGGAAACCTAAGGTGCTCCAGCAAGGTTAGGCCTTCAGGCCTTTCAGGGCTTATACAGCCTCTCCCCAAAGTAGGCCTGTCCTCTTTTTTCAAGGTGGAGCGAGCTTAACGTCTTGCACAGACCACAAGATTCCGGATCATCAAGATGGCTACTAAGTGCTTCCTTCTCAGATCAGTTTGAGGAGGTATTTTTCCAAGGATATTTGGACTTAAAATGTGAAGAAAATTGTAAAAATGGATGAGAGGAGTGATGTAAGAAGGCTGAAGACAGAAGAAACTGGGGGTCAGGGTCATTAACAATAGAAGTTTCACAGTGGGGCCTGACCAGGTTGGAGGACTGAGATAGGAGGAGGCAGGGCCCTGTGGACGGCCTCTCTTGTTACGCAGTACAAAACATGGTGTGTTCAGGAGATGAGAGGGGATTTATGCTCATTTTGCTCCAGACAGTTTTAGTTTTGCCTCTGCAGGGTCATGTGAGTGCCCTAACCTGCACGATCTTCACATTTGCTTTGAGCAAACAGAATGAACAGTTAGGTTTTTTGCTTAGAAGCTTTGCCAGGACTTTCCTAGTGAAATGTGATGGTGCACATCTTGCCTTCTTCAGCAAAAGGAACACATGATTCCTGTAGGGAGATGAAACCCTTCTGCAGAACATTCTTTACTGACAGATCTGTCTTCAGGGAAGCTTCAGCTCCTGAATGTCCTTGAGGCAGCTTCTGAATAACATATACATTTGTTTCCCCTCTTCCTTAGGGACTACATCCAAGATTGCTAGTGGATGCCTGAAACAACAGACAACATCAAGCCCTAAATACACTGCCTTTTTTCTATACATATGTGCCTATGATAAAGTTTAGTTTCTAAACTGCAGGCTCAATAAGAGGCCCACAATAATAAAATAGAGCAATTAGACCACTAAACTATAATAAAAGCTATATAAAGCATGTATTACTTCTGGAAATTTTCATCTGATATTTTTGGACTGAGACTGACAGCAGATAAAGGAGGACTACTGTAACCTCCAGTTTTTCTCTCTTGATTATTCCCATTTACAGTGTGTCTTATGGAATTCAGGTTTAAGATAGGAAGATGGATATTTTAACTCTCCTCCCTCCCAAATTCCTATCAAAATGATCAAAGAAGCATAAAATTAGACTTAATAGGCATGATGGGGGAAGGCAGGGAAAAGTACCAGCTATAGCAAAGGAATTTTGAGGTATTTTTGGTAGGTAGAGTAAAGTTGCAAAGGAATGAAGGAATCATGACCTGCTCAGGATTTGGTATCTGCAAAGGAACAAGTAAATGGATGGGTGGAATTTCTAGCAAAAGTTCTCCTTGCCCCAAACACCCAAAACTTCTGGTCAACAGCTAGAGTGAGAAACTTGCAGGTTCACAAGGCTGTTACACTTGAGATCAAATCCACTACTTGAGAGTTGTGCAGACTAGTCAGCCTCAGTCTCATCCTGCTCATGAAGATAATGCCTACTTTAAAAGACATAATAAGGATTAAATGAAATAGTGTGGGTCATGAAACACAGCTAAAAATTTAGCTATACATTTACTGATTACTACATGTCATGCACGATGCTAAAAGACATATAAATTACCTCTAACATACAAGAAAGTTCTACCAAGTTGGTCTTATGTTAACCACTGTTTTATAGAAGAGTCATCTTTGAGAAGTGTTAAGAAATCTGTTCAAGGTTTATAGCCATGAAAGGGGGGAAGAAGCATTATAGTTTGGATTTAAAGAAGTATGCCCCACAAGCATGAGCTGGGCACTTGGTTGCCAGCTGATGAACTTTTGATCATGAGGACTCTAATCTCATCAGCAAATTAATCCATGGATGGGTTTGAAATTTGATGGCATTTTGGGAGCTGACGGAAACTTTGAAGGTGGAGTGTGTTGAAGGGAGTGGGTCATGGGTTGCAACTTTGGGTCTGGATCCTGCTCTTTCTGTCTCTGCTTCCCGGCTGCCATAGGTGATGGCCTCTTTTGTCACATTCTCCAGCTTCCACGGTGCTCTGCCTTACCTCAGGCCCATAGCAATGAAGCCAAGTGACCGTGGATTGAAACCTCTGTAACCCTGAGCCAGAATAAATCTTTCTCCCTTTAAGTTGATTTTTTCAGCTATTTTGTTGCCCCGTGGTGGGAAGCTAACACAGACAGGGAGACGAAGCAGTGCAAATCACAGTCCTGAGATGCTCTACTCAGGCCCTAAGCTGCACTGCTCCAAGCCCTTGGAGTAAAGTGTCGCCAGCATCCACACCCATGAGTTTCACATCCTCAGATTCAACGAATCATTGATCCAAAATATTTAAAAATTTGTTCTTGTCCTTATTCCCTAAACAATATAACAAGGATTTATGTAGCATTTATATTATTTTAGGTAGTATAAGTAATCTAGACATAATTTAAAATATATAAGAGGACTGCATAGGTTAAATGCAAAGACTATACCATTTTTTAAAAGGAACTTGAGCATCTGCAGATTTTGGTAATTGTGGGGAGTCCTGGAACCAATCTTCCATGAATATCAAGGAAGACTATACTTTGGTCCCTATAATAACCTTTCAGTAACCATTTTAATGGTGAAAATATAATAGAAGTTGAGGAGTTAATTTGAGTCTATACAAATATTTGAAAGTGAGGCTGACTCACATCAAATCAAATATTTGATCCCAAGTTTCCGGTTCTTTTGTTTAACTGAGAGTATGCACGCTCTAGAGACTATCATTCTGTCTCCTGATTTTGTATTAATTATGTTCTCACTGAATACAGTGAAGCAGTGATGAGGCAAATTTCAAAACGTGACTCTAGTACCCACCCCTCCCAGTCTTTGAATTATTATGTGTGTAAGTGTATCTGAATTGTCTAGACTTCTTCTTGTTGGCAGAATTCACAGAAAACATTGGACTTCCCCTGAACCTGCTCGAAAAACACGACCCGTGGCCAGCTTATGTGACATATACCTCCCCAGTGGTGCAAAGACTTATTGAGAAAAGCAAAATGAAGGAACTGCAACGCACACGCGCTTTTGAGCAAAGCCAACAGGCACTGAGGCCAGACAAGTCTTCCAGCACTACTCAGCTAAAATGGAGAAAGTCGTCTAAGTCCTCTGGTGAAGGCTTGAGAGATGTGCTGTCAGATGGCATGCTGTCAATATGGGGCCCTAACTCTATGTCAGCCTTGAGTTCCATTCTTGTCCCAGAACCCAAGCATAATCAAACAGATTCCAGAGGAAGTCCCACTGCAGACTATAACAAGATCATATTCTCCCGAAAACCCATGATGAGGATGCTTCCTTACCAGGTCACTGCGGTCCAGCAAGGAGAAGAATGCAAATGTCTAACAAGGACTCCCTGCAGCCATCACTGAAGAATGTACTGTAATTAAGCTCCATTTGTTCCAAATTGTGCTGTCCTTTGACTCTAAAATTGCTCTTTTATATGCAGAGACCGGTGGAGAGAAAGCACCTCAGAATGTGGGCCATGGGTGGGTGGCCCACATGGGGGGTGGGTACCTCCCTTCCAGCACTGCAGTCTGCTGAGATCAGCAGTGAAAAGTGCTAGTTTTTCCCACAGGTGCTGAAAACCTAACTGTGGAAGTATTAGTCCAGGTCCAGGCAGGAGGCAAAAATCATACCAAGTACTTTACTAGAGATAATTTAATAAGAAGAATTATTAACCAGGTAACTGAGAAAGGCAGAAAGAGAATTCAAAGGTATAAATGGGGACAGCCCCTGTGAAAGCAGTTATCATTCCCATGGTGGAGGCAGTAGAGGGATATTAGCTGCTTGGAGAAGGGGCCTGTGGGCTGAAGCTCAGACTTTCTGAGGTGAGATAGTGGGAACGCTGCTCAGCTGTGCTGGTGGGTGCCTCTGAAGGATGGTATCCCGATTCTAAGAAGCAGAGCTCTTTTGGTTGGTGTCTCTGAGAGGACACATGTGATGCTGGCTCTGTGAGTATTGAAAAAACCAAAAACTGGATTAAAATGCTTCTGGGAGGAATTATCACTGCCTAGGTGAGTAAAAAGGTTTATTAGGGAGGCCGATAGGGACAGGAAGCTGACATAAGGCAAACAGGATGCAATCAAGAAGCAAATAACCTGAAGAGGAGGCCCTTCCTCTTCCTAGTAGCTTTGCAAGCTTCTACTAGCACCCCCTAGGGACAGTGTATCAGGGTGTAAAGCTTGAATGTGGTTTGCAGAATCTCAGTCTTAGCATCTTCAAACGGTATAAGAGGATGGATTTTGTGGCCAAGAGAGAAATAGCTTAGTAATCAGCATAGTGTGGTTCTGGTGCTCCACATGGCCTCTGAACCTAGTATTGCAGTGTTTTTCCTTTGGAGCTCTTACATAACGGTAGTGGGGATGTCAGAGGGGCCCCTGCTGAGAAATGGAGGTGGTTTAACACCCTCCTTCCATTCTTCTTTCAGGTTGGCCTTGTGGAGCAGAGCTGGTTGGGAGGGAGAGGTTCCTGAGCTCCTGGCTGGACCCCAGCTGTTATTTGTCCAGTGACTGCTCTAATTGGCCCACCCATGCTCTGAATTGGTCCTAAAGCAAGCACTGACGAACTGATTTCTGTTTCCCAACAGACAAGCTGTCTTTGGACACATGAGGATTCTGTCAGGACGGAAACCCAGCTGGCCTGGTGTGTGGCATTTCACTGCTGAACACGGCTGACCTTACCTGGGTTTCTGTGTTTGTACTGCAAGGCAGTTAATACCCATTCAGCTTCCTCACAGAGGTGTACAGGATCTGATGTACAAATAAGTACAAGTGCCATTTGGAAAAGTTATATTTCCCCTACATACATGTTTTCTGTCCAAGAGTCTTATGTAAATGTTTAGAGTCAGCTATGGGTGCAACTTTGTAGAACTTATCTCTGGTTGCTGTGTATTTGTGTTGGGACAGCTGCACAAATTAGGAGATCTGGATTTGCTCCTGGGTTCCCAACTCTTGGTCAGAATGAGTTCTTACAAAAGAAAAATAGGTGTTTCCCAGTGAATCTCCTGAATGTATGTTATTTTGTGTCTACGGAATATTTGTAGGCCTGGAAGCAGGTGATAAATTCCCCCAAGATTTTTAAAATTTCCTTTATCTCTCTACAGTTATTTATATCTAACATATATTTGGGGAGGCATGTATTATACAGTTTGAGTGTTACAATTAATAGATCTTGGGGATTATCAGGATTATTTCTTCCAATCCCTGCAAGGGCAGAGCAGTGATAATTTACTGAAGTTTGCATTGTCTGTTTTTCTTTAAAATTTCTAGGCATTTAATAGATTTTATAAAAGTATGTACTACAAATTAAAATAATTGCTTAATATACAGCATTATGTAGGTTAATCTAATTCTTAGCCTATTGTAACAACACAGGCATAAACTAAGGGCATCTTTCACTCCTTATGTTCTGATGAAAGTTGTCTGCATTCTATGTCCCCAGTCTAGACACACTGCCTCTTGAGGAAAATTTAAGAGAGAAAAAGTGTAATTCCTTTTGAAATGGGGAACTCAGCCCAAGCTCATGGATCTGGCCATGGATCTGTCCATGGATCTGGCCAGCAAATTGTCCTCCCAGCCATAGCTATATTCACATGAGGACTGAAGAGGCTGTTGGGAAGGAATTTTCCTGGGAGATAAACAATTTGGTAAGACCAGCTGGACCCACTAATGAAACCTTAGTCAATGGAGGAGAAGGAGGATCCTGAGTGACCTATGTTATCTGAGGCTGAAATTTGCCTCCTGAGCCAGACCTTTCTGAATGCTACTGGGGTGGGGGCCAGTGAGTCAGTCTGTCACAAGCCTCTTTCACTAAAATCCTGGAAGACCCAGAAGTACTAAAGCAAAGTGAGGGGAGAGCTTGCTGGCTTCGCAACCCACCATCTCATATGTCCCACTGCCCTACTTGTGGACAAGAAATAGCCAGGTCTGGTAGAGCCCAGTGAGTATTTGGCAGGAACAGCTTTGCTACTGAGAGTCAGATAGACATCTCTGGTGCTCCTTGAAATAGGCATGGAGCCCTTCCCAGGGCCTCTGTCCAGACACAAGCAGGCAGGGCATGCGTGGAGTGGAATGTAGGTTATTCTCATGTAAGCTCATCTGTCTATCCAAGCTAGAGAGGGCCTGGAGGATCTCAGGTTACTCTGAACATATTTAACTTCCATTTTGAAGAGAGAATTGGCTTTCTCTGATATTCCACAGCCCACACCTTCTTCTTATTTATGTCTTTTGCATATGGCATTTTCTTCTTGGCAAGAGAGCTATTCCAGTAAGTCTCCCTGCTATCGTAGGTTTATGAAATAGCAGAATATGTATTTTGTTAGCCTGTCTCTGTTGCTCTGTAACTAAGGCTCTGTTCTAACACATATTGAGCAGCTGTTTTGAACAGATTCCTTGGCTCCATGTGCACAATATGGTATTTACCCCATTTGCAAATTCCATGGTTGATGTTTGAACGGTTGATGTTTAACTTCAGCAACTTGACTGAGACTGCTGGTCATTTTCACTTTGGCGGGGACTGTTAGAACATCAAACAGGTCCACATTTTGCAAACTTCTTGCTGTGACCTCAGAGCACATCTTTTTTTTTTTTGTTTTTTGGTTTTTCTCCGGTACCGGGAACTGAACTCACGACCTTGCGCTTGCCAGGCAGGCTCAGAGCACATCTTGATAGGGATTAAGCTGCTCAACAGATAACAGGCTACTGGCATCTTCATGGAGGTAACAACATAAACAAAGGCACTGGTGCAGGTGTGGGCAAGCCAGATATTTGAGGGTGGCCTGGGAGGCCTGATACTGGAAATGGAAGGCTGGGATAGGACTTCAACAGAACTTATGGACTTTATTAGCAGTAAATTTGGAGTCTTATTGGGATGAGATCAAATCCTGCTCTTCATTATGTTAGCCTAAGATCCTTAAGTAGGAGGAGTCAATGCTGTGTAAGTTCACAAGCATAGGGAAAAAAATGACTACCCTGAGGCAGGGGTTTTGATCCTTGGGCCTTGCTGGTGGTCCCTTGGGGTAGTTTAGAGCAACATGAAGTGGGGGACACAGCACAGGACAGAGGTCAACTCCCTGAGCGGGGATCCCAGCTAGGGCCTAATCACAGATTCAGAGCTAGGGGTAGGAGTTGCAGCACTGCAGTCATCCTCGTGTGTCAACAGTGGCTGTAAAGATTGTAAAAGTGCTTTGTAAGCTATGTCAAGGTGAACATGCCCATCTGTACCATATGCTCCTTCTAGAGTTGAATCATTCCACCCTAGGAATCACCGTATTTCCAGACCAAAGGGCTAGAGCCTGGATGTCGTCAGTGCCAGATAAGAGAAGACAGTCTGAGAAATCTGGAGAGGCGGAGTTGGGAAAGAAGTAAACAGTGACTGAGGTTTACTGTGATCTGATGTTATCGGAGCCTGGACTGAAGCTCAGGGCTGGGTTTCTGTTGGCCAAGTAATCAGGAAAACTTTCCTCTTTCTCCTTCTCGCCTTCTCCTCCCTTACATGTATTACCAGGGACCCAGGGCCTCAATCAGCCACTTAGGTGCTTGGAAATCATGGGATGATGTCTTAAACCTGTAGGGCCTGGCTGGACCAGGCATAAGCACGTATGTAGGATTTCTTGGGATCTGTTGTTCAGAGCCAGCAGGGGTTGCAAGAATACCCGCCACTGCTACCACTATTCTTGAACCTGGCCATATCTGATTTCCCCATGGGGCAAGGCAGAATATAAAGATGAGGAGTTGTGTCCCTGCTGACACACAGAGCTGGGTAACAGCACAAAAAAGACTTTGAACTTGGTGTTTAGACCTTATCTGTTCTCTCACTTGCTATATTCTGGGCACAATAAAAATTCCTACACTACCCCAGGCTTTCTAGGAAGGGTGGCCCAGCAAGGGTTGAAGTATCCATTTATCTCCTCTGTAGATTCAATTCTTCAGCCACCTAGAATATTCCATTAATTTTGGTGGACAAAAAGTGAAAAGACGGGGCTGGGGATTTAGCTCAACAGCACAGCGCTTGCCTGGCAAGCACAAGGTGATGAGTTCGATTCCCAGTACCAGAAAAAACAAACAAACAAACAAAAAAGTAAAAAGACATGATATTTCAGGCAAGTTTGAAGCCTGACTTCTGGGATCACTTTTGCACATGTGCCATGCAGGAGGATTTTTGTGGAGAGCAAAGTTAGGACAAGAGCAAGTTACAGCTGAAGGGAAGTTGGCCCAAGTGCAACCAGCTCTTCTCCCGCATTTTTGGAGCTTGTCCATATCTATTTTACCACCAGGAGACCTAGGGTCATGCTTACCTAGCTGACTAGATAATTCTTGATTTAGGGGAGCTCTTTTAAGATCAGAACTCAGGCCACTCCTCTCGAACTGCAGGCTGCTTCTCCTATATTCAGACCTCCTCATCTTCTACATTTTCTGAGACAATCCTGCTGGTGTCTCAGGAGGGCACATGTGCTCTGGTGCCAGGGTCAACAGTCAATTAGCTTCAGTAGAGACATGTAGCCACTTTGCTCTGTGCTGCTAGACCTACAAGTGTGGGATAGTGAGGCTAAAAGTACTGTGAGCCTGGACAGCAAGGCTGGCCACATCCACTGGCACTTCCCCAAAGCTCAGTCTATGCCTGGCGCAGGCTTGGTGCTTAAGTATTTATTGAGCAAATGATTTATGAGAGCTAGTCCTAATGCCCAAAACAAAATGCACTGGGAAGAAGTGTTTTCTTTCCTAATGTTCTGAGGCTGGAAAAACACTTGGCTTTTGTATACATTTTGAAACACTGAATAGATAGCCTTGCTCTGAAGATTCCTTCTAGTCGTGACAGTATGATTCAAATACAATAATCAGTAGGCACCTTCTATGTGCCTTTCCTTGTAGGATATCAGAAGGACAGAAGGACCTAGAGCATAATCTCATAAAACTGATGTTAGTTTCTCTGTTCTTTTAAATGACCAATCCATACCCACCTGACATTTCCAAGTTATTGTTTCTCTAGCCTTTATCAGAAGGGACATAATTTCACAGCTCCAACTTGTTCTTTTGTTCTGGTGTCTGCAGCACGTTGACAGGCATCCAACAAATATGTACCGAGTGCTTGCTTGTGTCGTGCAGCATGCCTGGCGCCCAGTCCAGTCAAGCTAATATTTTGGCAGTGGGGACATGAGACAAGTACATTATTGGAGCACAGTTGTGATACATGTTATGCAGAAACCCGAGGTTCTGTGAGAGTGTATTTGCTTTAGACTCATGACCTGCTCTCTGAGTCTCATGAAAAGGGGATTACGGAAGGAGGCAGGATTAGTATCAGGACAGCTGCTCATAAAAGAGAGTGAGGTCATGGTGAATTTTTGGCCAAGTTGACTTTTAGTGGCCTGGTGAGTTTTTTAAAACCTCTGCAAAGCTGCCATTAGTTATATCCAGCCCCAACTTACATGTTTGTTTTTGTAGCACCATGGAGCTGATTCCCTAGCTTGGGCTGGCTTTAGGTGAGGGCATCTTACTCTATACTCTGGCGACAGCTTAGAGGAAATGCCAAATGTCTGCATACTGTTCTAGGGCCATTACTTTCTGCTTCCTGTTCCGTCGTGGAATAGTGGGCTGGGTAGCTACAAAGGATACTTTCAGGCCCCTTTAATGGCCTCTTTAGTCCTGGGACAATGACAGGTCTAAGCCTTCAGCGTCCAGCTAAGCCCCGCCTTAATTCCCTGGTCCTCCGGAATGAAAGGACCAGTCTGCCTTCCATTTTTTCTCTACAACAGTCAACTTCTGCTGGCTTACTTTCTTTTCCAGATTTTTGTAGGCTCTCTAGACTAGGGCATGGGGTGCACTTAAACATTAATATTACCCTTTATCTCCTTACCCCTCTAGTTATATCCACTTAGTTCCTCCCACTCTTTTCCGCTATCCCTTGCTTCCTTCCTACCCTTCCTTTTCCCCTTTCTTCTTCCTTGTTTGTTTTCCTCCCTCCTTTTACTGCCTTTTCTAACTTTTGATATCTGTTAATTAATTTTTGCAATTTCAAAATTAAATGACATTTGTTGTAACTTAGATTTTCTTGAAGTGTAAGTATCTAAGATGATCCTGACCGTACAAACTTTAGAATGAGCCTGCTCCTTTAGTACTCAGATACCAACAGCAGGAGCCTCTATTCTGAGGACAAAGGGAAGTTCTCAAATACCTCCTGAGAAGCCCTGAAGAATATTTGCATATTTCACACATCCATTCTAGTGGCTGCCCTTCACCCTCACCATCTATCTCATTTAAGAGACAGACATTCCAGGGTCCCAGTTCATTACTGTCTTGATCCACCCCAACATAGCCATAGGGTCCTCTGCAGCTTCTCAAAGCAAAGATTTATAGCAGCCAACAAATCTTCTACAAAGTCTCTGGGAGGAGTATAATAAATTACATTTGCTACCAGAAGTGGTAGCAATTTATAATAATTACATTTGCTACTCTTAGGGTGGGGAGAACAACCTAAATTTGATTTCTGTTTCCTGGTGAAGGTCAGCTTTGCCTCCAACATGGTTCTCATCACACTCATATTAACTTGATATCTACACAATTTCACTTTCGTCTTGGAGAAGTTTGAGTCACCCCCATTTTACTTTCCTTTGCTGAGTAAATTCCTTATTTTCTTGATTACAGACAGATTCCATTGGGAACACGGACTGCTTCATCTCTGAGATATATTCAGTTCTCTTGGCCTAGAAAAGACAGCCACGATATTCAACAGGGTGTTTCCTGCTGCCTGTCTTGTCCAGTTTGGAATAATAGTGCGTCTGGGGCTTCAAAATCATTTAATAGAGCTGAGGAGTCTTATCGGGTCTTTTTTAGGGTTCTACTTCCAGAATGTGGGAAGTTGTACCTTCTGAGCCGTAGGTAGCTTGAACAGGCACACCCAGCATGTCCACTCCTACCCCACCATTGCCACCACCTCCATCTGCATCTCCATCACTGCCAGGGCAGAAACCTCCATCCTGTATGACCATTACCACCACCACCACTGCCGCCATCAACAATACCTCTACCTACACCACCACCACCACCATGATCTCTATCTCCATCACCATCACCAGGACCACCCTACTCAGTACTACCACTATTTCTGCCACCACTTCTGCCATCATCCTTTACACCTTCAACTTTACCACCACCACCACCACTGCCTCCTCCTCCACCACCACTACATTTAGCACTTCTGTTAGCTGCTAGGAAGATAATTTAGGGGTAATCACCTATGCTTGTAGTGGGTTAGGGAAACTCCTGCCTCTTTAAATGACTGTTTAATGCTCCTTCAAAGTTTTTTGTTGTTTTGTTTCAGATAAAGCCCTCCAGAGAAACTTACAAGGCACCAGCTGAAATTTCTCACTATAATGCAGTCTTTTTAGATGACCTAGAGAAAACTTTGCTTATTATAATACTAATTTTCTCCCCAGAAGCATTCTCTTCTGCCACTTTTCAAAACTTGAAATGTATGACCTTCAGTGGAGCATGCTCAGAAATATGTCCACCTCTATGTGTAACAATGAATCTTTCCTAAATAAATATCTATGCTGTTTCCCCAATATTTATTTATTTTCTTTGGTTGGGAGCACTGCTTTGAAATTTCTCTCTAGTGCTCTCCTTGCTTGATGCAGCTAATAAAACCTTTTGTACTGTTTTATCTCCTGGTTGCGCTTTTTGACTTGACACTCACCATGGGGTGAGCCCATTGCAGTATTACACTTTCACCTCCATTCCCACCTGTTCTTCCATCCTTACTACCATGGCCTTTATTCCCTTTACCACCCCCCAGCATGCCCACCATCACCATTACCACCATCACATCTACCTCACCTTAGCCATTGCCACAGGCACACCTCCAGCAGCACTGAGAAAACTGATGGCAGTGCGGCCTTTATATATTAAGAACTTGTTTTCTAAAGCAGCAAATGCACAATTGCAATGCAAGATCTGTTCTACATCACCTAACAGAATATTTCACATCTCCATTGGAAGCATTTGCATTTAGGTTATTTCAATGACTTTGGGCACTGAAATAACCCCTTATATCCACACAAACATTGTCCAGAGAGGCTCCTCTCAGAGCAAAAAAAAGTTTGAGATGGATGTTGACTTTCTAGAGTGTGGAAATTAGAATTCTTTCCTCCAGTGTATGCTTTTGGTTCCTTTGAAGACCAAATAGCTGAACGTGTACATGTGTGTTCTGTATCCTCTATTCTGTTCCACTGATCCACATACTTGTTTCTGTGCCAGTGCTGTGCCATTGTTTCACTGTGCTTCGTAGTATAACTTGGAGTCAGGTATTATGATGCCTCCTACTTTGCCCTTATTGCCCAGGATTGCTTTTGTTATTTTGGGTCTCTTCTGGCTTATTCAACAAATGGTGCTGGGAAATTGGCTGTTTGCAGAAGATTGAAGACTCATATCTTTCACCATTCAGTAAACAAATCAAAATGGACCAATATCTAAACATTAAAACAGAAACAGTGAACCTACTAGAAGATAAAGTAGTTAAAATACTTGAGGTCATAGGAGGAGGCAAGGACTTTTAGAACTCCAGGTGCACAAGAAATTATGGCAAGGGTCAACAAACGGGATTAAATGTTTCTGCACAGCAAAGGAAACAATAAAGACAACCTACAGAATGGGAAAAAATTTTGCTAGCTACCCTTTAGATGGAGGAATATCTAGAATGTATAGCTAGAGTATATAAATCTAGAATATTATATAAAGAACTCAAGAAATTAGCAACCTCAAAATAAAAGACCCAGTGAAGAAATAGGCTCTCAAAAAAAGCCTATTTCTTCTCTCAGTTAACAAAGCTTAACAAATGTCCTCAAAGTCAACAGATAAAGATCTAAGTCATTCTTTTAAATGTCTCACAATAGTCAATGCTTCGTCATTGATGTGATTATTTGACTTTGCAGAAGTTCAAGTCTTGCTGCACTCATGTGATTTTCTGTCTCACTTGCCCTCAGACTTGGCTCAGTGTAGCAAAGCCTTTCTTACCTGGGCTGGCAGCTATAATGCCACACACTCTTGTGGTTATTAAACAACGTAAACGTATTTCACACAGAGCCAGAAGCTGGGATGTCTAATATCAAGGTACTGGCAGATTTGACCTTGTGAAAGTCCACTTCCTGATTCACAGATGATGCCATCTCACTGCCTGTACACAGTAAAGGGCCTATTGAGCTCCCAAGGGTCTCTTTTAGAAGGCACTAATCCCTTTCATAAGAGTTCAGCACAATGACCTAATCACTTCCCAAAGGTCTTACCTCTTGATACTATCACTTAGTGAGTCGGGACTTTAGAATATGGATTTTTTGGGGGGTCACAAACATTCAGATTATAGTGGTGCTTTGAACAGCTATCCCTTGGTATCTGTAGGGGATTGGTCCCAGGATTCAGTTCTGACCCTCAAGGGAACCAAAATTTACATGGCCTCAAGTCCTTATGTCAAGTGGTAGAGTATTTGCATAACCTACACCATCCTCCTATAGACTTCAAATCGTCTCTAGATTACTTTTCTCCCCTAAAGTAGAATGTAAGTGCTGTGTAAATAGTCATTATTCTGTACTATTCATGCTATACACATTTAGTATGGATTCAGTACTTTTTCTCCCAGAATATTTTTCTACCCATAGTTTGTTCAGTCTGCAGAATAAGAAGGCTGATTGTGTTTATAGGACATGCACATTTTTAGTGTGTTCATTCACTCTCCTTGATGTCCCAGACGCTGTCAGATGAGGAGGACCTACATCAGTTGACTGTCCTAGGCTTACACAGCAGAAAAACTGCACCTTTCTCTCAGGCCTCAACTTTCCCAGCCAGCATGGCATCTCCATGGGGACAGAAACACCCACCACACAAAACATAATACTTGCTCTAGACTGGCCTCAAATGGACAGCTCAGCCATACGTGAAGGCACACACCTATAACCCTAGCACTGAAGGAGGCTGAAGCAGGAGGATCACAAGCTCAAGCCCAGACTGACTTAGTGACATCCTGTCTCAATATTAAAAAATTAAAGAGAGGGTGGTGATGTGGCTCAGGGCAGAGGCCCTAGGCCCAATCTCCAGTTCCATAGGAAAAAAACTGGCAGCTCACAGCAACAACAAAGAGGGCATAATATAGCCACTTGCTCTGGGACAGATATGTCTGGCAAACAACCATAGAATTCTACCCTAGTTACAACCAGAATTCACATTTATTGGTGTGTGTCTTAGTTTCCTCACTGCTGAGACAAAATATCCCAACACCTGCTGTAAAGGAAGAAAAATTTATTGTAGCTGAGAGTTTGTAGGGTTTCAGTTCATAGTGGGCTTCAAGGCATAGTGGCACATGGCAGGGGAGCATCACAGAGCAGAAACAGTTCATTGCAAGCAGAAGGTAGAAGGCAGCAAGCAGCAAAGAAGTGAAGCAGCAAGCGATGGCTGCATTTCTCTTTCTGTCCCTTATATTCTCTCCAGGCCACGATCCCGTAGGGGTAATACTGCCTTACCTGAAAGGTAAGTAGAATTTCTCCTGGTATGCGTGTGCCAGGTAGGAAGAATTACACTTACCCCCCTCAAAAAAGAGCATGTTGAAGGTGTACAGGTAGCGTTGTTTGAAAAAATGTGTCTGCCAATTCTTTGATGCCTCTCAGTTCATGAGGCGGAGCTTAATTTCCTTCCCCTTGAGTGTGGCCTGAACTTAGAAACTCACTTCTGTTGTATAGGTGATGGCAGAAGGACTGGTCTGCTGCCTCTAAGATTAGGTGATGAGGAGGTTTGTGGCTTTCATCTGGGATGCTCACTGTCCTCCTAGGGGAAGCAAACTGACAGGTCACATTAGCGACCCTGGGGAGAGGCTAACCCAAGGGGGAACCACAGTTTTCTGCCAGCAGCCAAGTGTGTGAGCCCAACGGCAGACTCTCAGCTCCTGCAGATGATGACGGCCTTCCTGGAGGACAGCTCTGTGGACTCATGAGAGACCCTGAGCCAGGACCTTCAGCAAAGCTGCTCCCCAATCCCTCACCACTAGAAACTCTGAGAGAGGAATGCTGAGTGTTTCACATTTCTAAATTTCAGAGTAATTAGTTACATAGCAATAGATAACAAATTCAGGTGGAAAGTGGGTGTCAGGTCATTTAGGACATTAAAAGAGGTTTGGGGTGGCCTAGCAGAAGCTGTAACTTTCAAACTTCAGGGTTCTTATGAATTACCTGATACATATGCCCAGAATGCAGAATTCTGAGACTCACTCTCTGAAAGCTGATTTTCATTTTAAGCATGCATCTCAGGTAGTTCCAGTGCAGCTCTCCCACAGAACATATTTTGAGAGGCCTTGGCATAGGACAGTTGATAGCTGGGTGACCCAAGATGAGGCTGGGAGGCAGCAGAGGTCTAAAAGAAAACAAAGACAAACATTTTCTCTAAGAATGGTGGGCAGCCCTGCTGGGTTTTAAGCAGGACAATAGCTAAATTTATAAACAGACTAAGACTTACTTGGTTTTCCTCCATCAACAACCTGGTGATGGACATTCTGGCTTATCAGTAACTAATGTAGAACCTTAAATGTGGGAAGATGAGGAAAGGTAACACCTCAGGCCTGCCTTTGAAGAACTCACGTGTGATTTTTATTTGTTTTTGTTTTTGTTTTTTAGTTTTTGTTTTTTTCGGTACCGGAAATCGAACTCATGACCTTGCGCTTGCCGGGCAAGAGCTGGGCCACTGAGCTAAATCCCCAGCCCCTCAAGTGTGATTTTTAAAAGTATACAGTGATACCTTGGTTGTGGAATGGCTCCAAGCTCAAGCTTTCTATTACTCAAACAGCAAACCTTGGCAAGCGCAAGGTCGTGAGTTCGGTTCCCGGTACCGGAGAAAAACCAAAAAAAAAAAAAAAAAAAAAAAAAAAACAGCAAACTTTGGAGAAAATCCGCTTGGTGTTCCTAACTTTGCTCAGTCATTGAACCAAAAATCTGACTTGAAGAAACCTGTACAGGCAGAGAGTGAGTCATGTGTGTATCATGTCTTGCTATGGACACAAAATGGTAATACTTCAGTCTAAGCACTTCTCTCACCCAGAAAACATACATAGTGTTGTGTAATTTGGGGGGCTCAGAACCAATTACTTGGCTTTCCATTATTTCTTATGGGGGAGAATATGGTCAGTTCTTGAACTTTTCAATGTTTGAACACAAATTTGGAATAATGATGACAGAGGTATCTCTGCATACAGGAACTATACACCAAACTGAGAGCTTGCCCTATTCAAGTAGAACAACATGAGAGATTGTTCTCTCATTCTAACAATGCCCTGGCTGCTTTTGGTAATCATTTTTTAAGCTAGTTCATGGTCTAGACAAAAAGCTAGTTGCTTTAAAAGTATCGAATGCTTCAGTGAGGTTTGTTTGAGATCATTTTATAGAAATCTGATCATTTTAAAGATGAGACAGAGGTTAGAGAGGACAGTGATTTATTTCAGTTCATTATACCTAAAATTTTCAGGTCTACTGTTGACATGGACTAAGGAAGGAGTCCTACTGGCCTGTGCATTGCATATCTGGTAGAC